GCAACTCTATTAAACTTCGAGTTTTTTAATTTAAACTCGAAATTTAAAAATTTTCAAACATGACATCTTAAAATTCTCTAGGTTTATTACTTTTCAGCTCGAAATTTCAACGTTGTTTTTATTTTCCACATAATGAAAATTTCTTTTATTCCTTTTTAAGACTAAGACGTTATATACATTATTTTTATATATCGAAATTATCATAAATAATATTATATATTTGTTTTTTATTATTATATTTTACTTCCAGAATTAAAGTTTGGGTGCATTTGAAAACGGTTCATAACTCCTAAAGTATGCAAAAGTAGGTCCACCATTTCCGTCTGCGTCGTTTGTTATACTTTTGTGATTTTATTACAAGGTAATTTCCGAAACTACTCGACAGATTTTTTGTTATTTAAAGGATATTTTAGGAATGTCCTGTAGTTAATAAAGCGCTAATTGAAATGTAGCTCATCCTCCCTACCGACAATCTGATGACGTCAACTCAAAATATTGCCAAGTAATTCTCAAATGTTATAAAATAACGAGTTCCGGTACTTGTGGTTTATTGATCTGACTTTACTTTTTACCCTAGATACTATTGAACGAATAATTCAGAATTATTAGTTTGTTTCTGTGGAACACATTCCAGGTTTTTAAAAAATTGTGTTTTTATTTTTTAATCAATTTCGAATTTAAAAAGAAACTTTGAATATTTTTGCAACTCTATTAAACTTTGAGTTTTTAAATTTAAACTCGAAATTTAAAAATTTTTAAACATGACATCTTAAAATTCTATAGGTTTATTACTTTTCAGCTCGAAATTTCAACGTTGTTTTTATTTTCCACATAATGAAAATTTCTTTTATTCCTTTTTAAGGCTTTAACACGTTATATACATTATTTTTATATATCGAAATTATCATAAATAATATTATATAAGTGTTTGTTTTTTATTATTATATTTTACTTCCAGAATTAAAGTTTGGGTGCATTTGAAAACGGTTCATAACTCCTAAAGTATGAAAAAGTAGGTCCACCATTTCCGTCTGCGTCGTTTGTTATCCTTTTGTGATTTTATTACTGGTAATAATCTCCGAAACTACTGGACAGATTTTTTTTTATTTAAAGGATATTTTAGGAATGTCCTGTAGTTAATAAAGCGCTAATTGAAATGTAGCTCATCCCCCTTACCGACAATCTGATGACGTCAACTCAAAATATTACCAAGTAATTCTCAAATGTTATAAAATAACAAGTTTTGGTACTTGTGGTTTATTAATCTGACTTTACTTTTTACCCTGGACACTATTGAACGAATAATTCAGAATTATTAGTTTGTTTCTGTGGAACACATTCAGGTTTTTAAAAAATTGTGTTTTTATTTTTTAATCAATTTCGAATTTAAAAAGAAACTTGGAATATTTTTGCAACTCTATTAAACTTCGAGTTTTTAAATTTAAACTCGAAATTTAAAAATTTTCAAACATGACATCTTAAAATTCTCTAGGTTTATTACTTTTCAGCTCGAAATTTCAACGTTGTTTTTATTTTCCACATAATGAAAATTTCTTTTATTCCTTTTTAAGGCTTTAACACGTTATATACATTATTTTTATATATCGAAATTATCATAAATAATATTATATAAGTATTTGTTTTTTATTATTATTTTTTACTTCCGGAGATAAAGTTTGGGTGCATTTGAAAACGGTTCATAACTCCTAATGTATGAAAAAGTAGGTCCACCATTTCCGTCTGCGTCGTTTGTTATCCTTTTGTGATTTTATTACTGGTAATAATCTCCGAAACTACTAGACAGATTTTTTTTTATTTGAAGGATATTTTAGGAATGTCCTGGAGTTAATAAAGCGCTAATTGAAATGTAGCTGATCCCCCCTACCGACAATCTGATGACGTCAACTCAAAATATTGCCAAGTAATTCTCAAATGTTATTAAATAACAAGTTCCGATACTTGTGGTTTATTAATCTGACTTTACTTTTTACCCTAGACACTATTGAACGAATACTTCAGAATTATTAGTTTGTTTCTGTGGAATACATTCCAGGTTTTTAAAAAATTGTGTTTTTATTTTTTAATCAACTTCGAATTTAAAAAGAAACTTGGAATATTTTTGCAACTCTATTAAAATTTGAGTTTTTAAATTTAAACCCGAAATTTAAAAATTTTCAAACATGACATCTTAAAATTCTCTAGGTTTATTACTTTTCAGCTAGAAATTTCAACGTTGTTTTTATTTTCCACATAATGAAAATTTCTTTTATTCCTTTTTAAGGCTTTAACACGTTATATACATTCTTTTTATATATCGAAATTATCATAAATAATATTATATAAGTATTTGTTTTTTATTATTATATTTTACTTCCAGAGATAAAGTTTGGGTGCATTTGAAAATGGTTCATAACTCCTAAAGTATGAAAAAGTAGGTCCACAATTTCCGTCTGCGTCGTTTGTTATCCTTTTGTGATTTTATTACTGGTAATAATCTCCGAAATTACTGGACAGATTTTTTTTTATTTAAAGGATATTTTAGGAATGTCCTGTAGTTAATAAAACGCTAATTGAAATGTAGCTGATCCCCCCTACCGACAATCTGATGACGTCAACTCAAAATATTGCCAAGTAATTCTCAAATGTTATAAAATAACGAGTTCCGGTACTTGTGGTTTATTGATCTGACTTTACTTTTTACCCTAGATACTATTGAACGAATAATTCAGAATTATTAGTTTGTTTCTGTGGAACACATTCCAGGTTTTTAAAAAATTGTGTTTTTATTTTTTAATCAATTTCGAATTTAAAAAGAAACTTTGAATATTTTTGCAACTCTATTAAACTTTGAGTTTTTAAATTTAAACTCGAAATTTAAAAATTTTTAAACATGACATCTTAAAATTCTATAGGTTTATTACTTTTCAGCTCGAAATTTCAACGTTGTTTTTATTTTCCACATAATGAAAATTTCTTTTATTCCTTTTTAAGGCTTTAACACGTTATATACATTATTTTTATATATCGAAATTATCATAAATAATATTATATAAGTATTTGTTTTTTATTATTATATTTTACTTCCAGAGATAAAGTTTGGGTGCATTTGAAAACGGTTCATAACTCCTAAAGTATGAAAAAGTAGGTCCACCATTTCCGTCTGCGTCGTTTGTTATACTTTTGTGATTTTATTACTGGTAATAATCTCCGAAACTACTGGACAGATTTTTTTTATTTAAAGGATGTTTTAGGAATGTCCTGGAGTTAATAAAGCGCTAATAGAAATGTAGCTGATCCCCCCTACCGACAATCTGATGACGTCAACTCAAAGTATTACCAAGTAATTCTCAAATGTTATAAAATAACAAGTTCCGATACTTGTGGTTTATTAATCTGACTTTACTTTTTACCCTAGACACTATCGAACGAATAATTCAGAATTATTAGTCTGTTTTTGTGGAGCGCATTCCAGGTTTTTAAAAAATTGTGTTTTTATTGTCTCATCAATTTCAAATTTTAAAAGAAACTTGGAATATTTTTGCAACTCCTTTAAAATTCGAGTTTTTAAATTTAAACCCGAAATTTAAAAATTTTCAGATCTGACTTCTGAACGAGAAATTTCAACGTTGCTTCCATTTTCTACATACTAACAACTTATTATTATTTTTGCATATCGAATTTATTGTAACTAATATTAATTATTTATTTATTATAAAATTTTACTTGCCGAGCATAAGTTCGAGTACATTTGTAAATAGTTCTAAAGTATGAAAAAGTAGGTTCACCATTTCCGTCTGTGCCTTTTATTGTCTTTTTGCGATGTTATTATAGATTAATAATCTCCGAAACTACCGAATATTTCCGTTTGTTTTTCTAATCTGAAGTGTATTTCTGATCGTTTCCACCAACAATTTCATGACGTCAATTAAAAATTTTGCTGAGTTAATCCTATTTGAGAAAAAATCAAAATTATAAAACAACATTTACAATTTAACTTTGAAATTACAGAACACTGCTCCGAAATCTTGCAAACTTTCTAAGGTTATACGAAATATCGGAAAAAATTGCTAATTAAAATTTTACTAAGTATTTAAAACCAAAAACGGTTTATCTAATTTTCCGAAATGTTGAGAAAACAGGACTTGGTATAGAACAGAATAATTAATAGAAGGCTGATGAAGACGTCAACACAAAATTAATAATGCACATCTATTTTACTTTTAGCTTATTATCATAAGAAAAATAAAATTTGAAAAAGAATATTTTGTAATTTGTCTAAGAAACGAATGAAATTGTTTGATTGCTCAATTTTTCGATATTGATAACAACAAAGAGCTTTCAAACGTTAAGATTTATTAAAGATACGAAATTAAAGATTTATAAGAAAACTATATATGAACTATAAAAATAATCATTGCATACATTTCACAACAATGCAGAATTTTAAAAATCAAATACAAAAAAAAAACAACACAAAGACGATATAATTATAATTAACTTCATACGACGGAAAATTCACGAAGCAAAAAATCCGGAAATTTTAACGTTTTTTGAAAACTATTAAATTTTTTATTTTTAAAAATTTATGAGCACAGGAACCTAGTAATTTTTTTAATTATTGTTTGTACTTTCTGCATAGTTTAAGTAAAACTTTAGATGAAAATAAAATTATTCAAAAAGCATTAAATATATTTAAAAAACACAAAACCTGAAAAAAAATCACCTTTTTAGGATAACCCCTTCAAGCTTACGTACATCAAGACCAAAATTCAAAACATAAACCAGCTTTCGCCCACCGAGTGACCGTTGTTTTATCATCACCTGAGAAATTTTCTAATCTTCAAAATTCCAATCACCACTTTCCAAAAATTAACCACACCCCGATTCACCTGCGACCCCAAATCTGAAAAAGCGCATCAGCACATTCCCAAAAACTGCCAAAGCACAGTCCTGAAAGCGTCTACCACAACGAAAAAAGCCAACATCACATACAACTTTACCCATTATTCAGTCAAAACCGTCACCCGGAAGTTCCAAACAATCGATCAGAAGTGAACACAAACTAAATGTTTATTTAGAGCTAATCAAGTATTTAACAATCGAATGAGTGGTCCGCCATGTACTTTGGCACGAGCTTACACATGCATTGCCTGGCCCTCTAGCGACGCTTTCCGGCACTCCCGCCATCCCTACGCGGGGGCGGAGCCGCGGCGGGCGTCGCGACGCCACGCCCCCGGGCCGCCGCCGCCGCTCGATCAGTACGACACCGCGACTCAAATGGGGCCATCAGCGCGCGGACTGCTGAGATAGCGTTTTTTCCCATATGCCGGCATCAAGTTTTTACCCTTTTTAGTCAGGGTAGGAATTGATATGCATAGTGATGTTTGCCGGTTATTGGAGACGGGTTGTTGTGAGGGGGGCGGGGGAGGGTTGGAGTTTATGTAGCGAAATTTTAAACTGGGAAAGTTGTAGTATTCATTAATCATAGTTGAATGATGACGGGAAGGAGGTTTAAATAAATGTAGAACTAATGGTCTAAATGTGGTCAAAGGCTACGATTATTTTTTTTTATGTACTTAAAGGACTTATACATGAATTGAACTTCTAGCGAAAGATATAAAACGTTATAGATCGAATACTACACTGGACATAGTTTCAGACGATCGGCGGTCATTCGTTTAGCCGGTACAGGTGCTGATATACTAAATATAAAATGTCACACAAGGTGGAAATTCGCCAGTGTTGTTCAGAAATATATTGAACATTCCATAAGCAATACAATGAACATTGCGAAAAAATATTCAACTAGTATTTTCAACGAAATTCCAGTTATTATTAATGAAATGTGCAGCATAAAAAGAAATCGAAAAATGAAACGTTCCTTTTCAAAAAAAACTGTGTTTTTGTGATGTACTGTACTCTTCTTCATTGCATTTTTTAGGGTACAATATTTGTTGTAAAAAAACTGATAATATTTTGTTTAATATATACTTAATATATAATTCTAGTTATGAAATAATGAACGGTGATCAACCAGCCAAAGTTTTGAATTTTTGACTCTCAAAAATGAAACGTCCATCGCAAGTGATGTAAGTAGTGTTCACTAATTCAAAACTGGAAGTATAACTTTGACTGTTCTTATTCATACAATATACCGATGACTATTAATGTTTTGTGATTTTTTGTCAGGTTGGCAACATTTTTAAAATTTTGTGATGGGATTGACATTTGTGACACCAAGTCAGTAGCTGTCATTCCTTCACACGTTTGTTAAACGCGCGCCTGTCAAAATTGACAGTTGTGAACTGACGTACTAGCATTGCTGTCAATAATTCAGAGTTGTGAACACAAAAGTTTGTGATCAGATATTTTGAATGAGGTTTATTCAGTATTATTTTGTGGCGACGTCACCAATTTTTTGAAGGTGATAGACAAATTTTGGTAGGCATTTTACCATCTGAATATTTGCTAAATTTTTTATCATTGGTCTCAGATTATTTGAACGGAACTTCCTTCGCCGCTTAAATACAGCTGAACAGATCCAGTTTTTCAAAAAATTATAAAAATTTAAATATTTTGCAAAATTTTATTTATTTTATGAAAATCCCTATATGTAAAAAATAGATAATACCAGTCACACTTAAAAAAACATTCGTTAAGAATGGGACTCGAACCGATACAAAAATTGAAAAATGTACGATCGAAAAATGCTTGCTGCCGAAAAACTGAAAACTGGTAAAATTTAATTTTTCGATTTTTCAATTTTAATTATTTTAATTTTTCGTCTTCTCAATTTTTAAAATTAGGTAATAGAAAACGTGAAAACTTGAAAATGGATGAAATGAAAATATGAAACATTGGGGGTTCGCTAAGAACGAGACATTCTAAATTGAAATATTTAAAACAGGAAAAATTAAAATGATATATTGAAAAATTGAAAAAAGGAAAATTTGAAAAATGGAAAAGTGACAGAACGAAAAATTGAAAAATTATATACTTAATCGGAAAATTGAAACAGCGAAAAACTGTGAATCGAAAATTAGAGCAACGAATATTTGAAACATGAGAGATCGTTAAGAACGAGAAATTCCAAATCGAAATATTGAAAACACAAAGAATTAAAATAACTAAAAATTATTAATATTAAATCGAAAAATCGAAAAAGTTCAGAAAATTCAGAAAATCAAGAAAATAAAGAAAATACAGAAAATCCACAAAATCAAGAAAGTCCAAACACTCCAAAAAATCCTGAAAATCCTGAAAATCCAGAAGTTCCAGAAAGTCCAGAAACTCTATAAATTCCAGAAAGTCGAGAAGTCCATAAATTCCAGAAATCCAGAAAGTCCAGAAAGTTCAGAAAATCCGGAAAATCCAGAAAGTCGAAAAAATCCAAAAAATCCAGAATGTCCATAAAGTCTAGAAGTCTGAAAATCCAGAAATTCCAGAAATTTCAGATGATCCAAAAAATCAAGAGAATCCGGTAAATCCAGTAAATGCAGAAAATCCAGAAAATATAGAAAATTCAGAAAGTTCAGAAATCCAGAAGTCTGTAAAGCTTGAAAAATCCAGAAATCCAGAAAGTCCAGAAAATCCAAAAAGTCTTGAAGTCCAAAAAATAAAAAAAAGGAAAAAATTCAGAAAATCAAAAATACCCAAAAAATCCACACAATCCAGAAAATCGAAAAAGACCAGAAAATCCACAAAACACAAAAGTCCAGAAAATCCAGAAAATCCAGATATTCCAGAAACTCCAGCAAATCCAGAAAGCCCAGAAAATCCAGAAAATCCTGAAAATACAAAAAATTCAAAAATTCCAGAAAATTCAGAAATTCCGGAAAATCCAGAAAATCTAGAAACTCCAGAAAATGAGGAAAATCCAGAAAATCCAGAAGATCCAGAAAACTCCAAAAATTCAGAAAATATAGAAAATCCAGAAAGTCCACAAGTCCAGAAAATCCAGAAGTCCAGAAGGTCCAGACAATCTGGAAAATCCAAAAAATCGAGAAAGTCCAAAAAATAAAAAAAAATCAGAAAATCCGGAATATCCAAAAAATCTAGGAAATCGAAAAAATCGAGAAAGTCCAAACAATCCAAAAAACTCAAAAAATCCGGAAAGTCTAGAATATCAGAAAAATCCAGAAAATCCTGAAAATGCAAAAAATTTAAAAATTCCAGGAAATTAAGAAATTCGGGAAAATCCAGAAAATCTAGAAACTCCAGAAAATGAGGAAAATCCAGAAAATCCAGAAGATCCAGAAAGTCTAGGAAATCCAGAAAATCGGCAAAGTCCAAAAAATACCAAAAAAACCAGAAAATCCAAAATATTTAGAAATTCCAGAAGTCTGGAAAGTCTAGAAAATTTAGATGCCCAGGAAGTCCAGAAACCCTGAAAATACGGAAAATCCAGGAAATTGAGAAAGTTCAAAAAATAAAAAAAATCAGAAAAACCAGATTATCCAAAAAGTCGAGAAAATCCAGAAAATCGGGAAAGTCCAAAAATTCCAAAAAAACACAGCAACTCAGATATTCCAGGAACTCTAGAAAATCCAAAAAGTTCAGAAAATTAAGAAAATCCAGAAAATCCAGAAAATCTAGAAAGTCCAAAAAATCACGAAAATCCAGAAAATTCCAAAAATCCAGAAAATATAGAAAAATCAAAAAGTCTAGAAATTTCAGAAAATCTAGAAAATTCAAAAGTCCAGAAAGTCCAGAAGGTCCCGAAAATCCGGAAAATCCGGAAAGTCGAGAAAGTCCAAAAAATCCAAAAAACCCAAAACAATCCAGAATATCCAGAAATTCTCTAAGTCTTGAAAGTCCAGAAAATCCAGAAAATCCTGAAAATCCAGAAAGTCGGGAAAGTCCAAAAAAAAACAAAAATTCAGAAAATCCAGAAAATCCGAAAAGTCCAGTAATCCAGTAAATCGAGAAAGTCCTAAAAAAACCCAAAAAATTCAAAAAATCCAGAAAATCCAAAAAGTAAAAAAAATCGGAAAATCCAGAAAATCTAGAAATCCAAAAATCCAAAAATCCAAAAATCCAAAAAATTCAAAAAATCCAAGAAGTCCAGAAAATCGAGTGAATGAAAAATTGAAAAATTATATAATCGAAAAATTGAAGCAGCGAAAAACTGTGAATCAAAAACTGAAGAAACGAAAAATTGAAAAATCGAAAAACTGCAAAAACGGAAAATTATAAGATTGAAAAATTGCAAATCGAACACTTGAACATACAAAAAAATACTAATTTAAAAATCGAAAACGAATAACAGAAGAAAGGAAAAATTGAAAAACGGAAAACTACTAAGTCGAAAAACCAAAAAAAAACGAAAAACTGACGAAAAGAAAAATTGAAAGATCAAAAAATTGAATAATTGTGCGAGCGAAAAATGGAAGATTTGAAGTAATGAAAAATTGGAAAATTAAAAGTTGAGAAACTAAAGAATTGAAAAACTGAAAAACCGGAAAATTAAAATTAATACATCGTAAAATGGAAAAATCCAAAAATTGTATAATCGGAAAACTGTAAGACCGAAAATTTTCAAATCAAAAAATTGAGGAAACAAAAAACTAAAAAATCGGGAAATTAAAATTTGAAAAACTAAAAATTGAAAATTTGTAAGATCGAGAAATTGCAAATGGGAAAATTAAAGAAATGAAGAATCGAAAAATTGAAAATTTACATAAAATGGAAAAGCTGAAAAATTGAAAAAATGAAAAATTGGAAAACAATAAGAGCGCGAATAATTGACGAAACGAAAAACTGAAAAATCGGAAAATCGAAAAACGAAAAACTGTAAATCGAAACATGGAAAAATTGAAAAATCCAAATATTGGCAAAATAAAAAATTGTGCTAGCGAAAAATGGAAGAATTGAAAAATTGAAAAACTAAAGAACTGAAAAAGTGAAAGATCGAAAAATTGTATAATCGGAAAATTGTAAGATCGAAAAATTCCAAATGGAAAAATTGAAGAAACAAAAAATTGAGAAATCAGAAAATTAAATTTGAGAAACTGAAAAACTGAAAAATCGAAGAAGGAAAAACTGCAAGATCGAAAAATTGTCAACCGAAACACCCAAAAATTGAAAACACGGAAAATTAAAATTCGAAAAAGTGAAGAAATGAAAAACTGAAAAATCAAAAAATCAAGAAACGAAAAATGGAATAAATGAGAAAAGAAAAATGGCAAAATGGAAAAAGTGAAAAATCGAAAATTTAAAAACAAAAAAAAAATAAAAATTGTATAATGGAGAAATTGTAATAGCAATTTTATAAAACAATATACTCTTGTATATATTTGTCGTTAAGGAATGCGCCTTGATTTTTTTACCGTAGATATCCAAATATAACATTTTAGTACACAGTTTTTAATAAACATTTTGTAAGATTTATTTCAAACTGATTTCTCTTTGAATTTTATTTGCTTAGTTTTTTTGCGTTAAGTGAATAACAATATCGTTTTAGAATAATTTAACTGTCTTAATTGTACCTATTTTCGTAAATTATTATTGTCAAGAATCAATTAATTACGAAAATTAATGTCATTAAAGTAAAATAAATGGAAATAAAATTAATTTTGAAGTGTGATATGTGTTGCCAAGAATTCACTCTTATTAGTGTGGATCTTAATGACCTAATACTAAAAAATAACGTAAAGTAAACATATGAGAACCTATGGACCGTGGTGTAATTGGTGGATACGTCCAACGTATAATAAACGTTCCACTTTTCTGCTGTTTCACAACATTGACATAACTTAATATAGGCAACACTTTAAACACCGCCGCTTTCTTGTTGCGGCCCCTTTATAAAAAATACTAGAAAATGGACCCATTTTTTGTTGATCACCACTCAAATCTCTTACTTTATTAAGCAAAAAACTGAATTTGTGAATTTGTACCCCTTACAAGAAAAAAACTGATGAATTCCCTTTGTTCACGTCAAAACCCGCGCCCTACTTTCACGCCATCAGAACCGCCAATTGCGCAACTGTCAAAAAAACGTAGTAAAACTCCGCGCTGCCAACCAGATAACGGTAAAACAGGTGCATGAGGATGGCCGTTTGTTTATCCAAAATAAGTCCACAACAACATTAACACACAAGGAACCGACAATGGAAACCGAGCTAAATCTCGACGAGTCCCTAGACAGCGTTAGTATGGACGTGGAAGACCGAATGATGAAACGTTGTAGATTTCCTCGAAGGCAAACAGTGCAATCCAAGAAGTTTTGTGCCAAAGATGAAAGAAACGCATCACTAAAAAAGGTCCGGCCACCCCGAAACCCCCCAATAACCGCTATAACGTGTTTCTGCAGGTGTCTGTAATCCTCCAGAAATCCGAGACTGATCGAACATTTGAAGAAGCTCAGGTACTGAATGAATGCTCTGAAGCCGTCGAAGAAGTGCAGCTGCGGTGGCGCAAACGGGACGAAGCCAAGCGGAGACAGGAGGAGTTCGAGGAGCCCCCGGACGTGCTCAGGCAGAAGTGCCTCATTCTGGCGCAAGCGATAGCGCAGGCACAGCATCTGGTGGTGTACACGGGGGCGGGGATAAGCACGGCGGCTAAAATTCCAGACTATAGAGGACCAAACGGGATCTGGACCAGGCTCCAGCAAGGGAAAGATATCGGGTGAGTCCTTAAGTGGGCGAAACCCGTCATGGGCTGAATATAGCCAGCGTCGCTAAGTGGAGGCACGTGTGTGTCTATATTTTCATTATCATTGTTTAAGAGTGCTGAGTGGCGCAAATCAAGGTCTTTTAAATGGACCGTGTGCCATGACATAACCTCAATCCTGGACTTTGACAACTGTTCTTCATTGTGATAAAAAAGCAAAATGCATAACAATAACTTTTGGTTTCTGGTTTTTTGGCGAAAATTTCGTGGATTTGTGGTTATTAAAGTGTTTTTTTTAGTTGTCTACGACGAAATTTTCTCGGTTATGCGTCAAACTGCTAATAAAAGCTGCCTTAATTCGCGGTAAATAACGGTGTCGTGTGCAACTCGCACGTGTAAAAAGTACACACGGAATTGATAATACGCAATACACACAGAAAAGTTGTGCACAGAGGTTATTTATACACCCAGAAAAGTTGTGCACAGGAGGCGCATGATCGTGGAGCAAGCGTCGAGTTGGCGTTGCTCTGAGTTTAAATTTATAAAATGGATGAAATTTAGGACGCCATTGGTGCCAACTGTGTAAATGTAAAATCCCTCAACTTGGGCAATTTTCCTTGACAACTGTCATTTAGTCATTGATTTCTTTCTATTAAAAATGAGCATAAAATACGAAAGCTCTTGTAGTAGTCATTGTTTAGTTTGACAGTTATGGTCAAATAGTTGTAATACCAAAATCGATATTTTAAAAATAAATTGCACGGCCTACTAGAGGTGTTTTTCTTTTTCGATCATATGACACTTTGGCGACAGAATTTGTTGGTACCGAGGACGTAATCATTTTTAGAAAAAAAAAATGAAAATTGTATGAAAAAAGTGCCAATATGAATACTTTCAAAAAATGATGTAGGTGCTAGAACGAAAACTTTAAAAAATTCGTTCATAGACTGTTTCCTCATGATGACATGTATTGTTGGTTGCATATATGTATTTATTTGATTTAGTAAAATATTTTTTAAAATAGAAAAATATGTTTAGTTGTCTTGCATTGCGAATAACTAAAAAAATTTTTATTTTCAACATTTTTTATTTCTAACAAATTTATTTTCTAAAAGAAATCTTTGTTGAACAAATTTTTTGGATAACTTCTCGTTCTGCCAACGTTTCTTTTAATACCATATGTACATCTAATCTGATCTCTTACATATTTTTATTATTAATATAACAATAATATTATTAACATTAATTGATGAAACAATTAAAAAAGTACTATAAATAAAACTGCGAACTATATTGAAATATACAAAATTCAAAATATGGCCTTGAACTGTTTCTAATCGTCAACAAAATGGAACTCTAAGTTGGCTGTTCTTTTTATGGCAAATTTTTGTAGGAAAATGTCGATTTTGCAATTAAGCTCCCCTCGGCTTACGACGAATAAAAAAAAATCATCGGAATAGAGTTGGGGCGGGTGGGCGGGGCTTATATTTTGCCTTTTTTTTCTTAATATACATAGCCATCTTTTCACAACAAGAAAATTAAAATATGCTCAAAATAGTACATTTTTGAAAGTAAATCCACATATATACACATATTGAAACAAAAAGCCAAGAAGGCGGAGCTTAACTACAAAATCCTTATATCTCTACGAGAAATAAAAAACATGTTTTTCAGTGTCGTGTTGTATAGCTAGTACTTGCTAAGATAAGACTGAATATTATTAAAAGTAGCTATTGAAATGAAGAGGGGGCGGGGCTACTGCTTGCTCACAAGACTCTTTATAAAAAAGCTGAACTTAGCCCTGCCCATCTTTTTTCTCTACTTCGTTGACTTATTTTACAAGTTGTAGAATCCAAGATTTAATACAAAGTAAAAGTGGCCCCGCCCACCCACCCCTATTCCGTTCTGACAGTTTATTCTTATTAGCTCTGAAGAACGGAAGTTGGATTTTATAGTGATACAAAATAAAATCTAGGATTACAATTTTTTAATATAATTTAATTTTTACTAAATTATCTAAATTTTTCGATGTTGTAATTTTTCGATTTTGTTAGTACTTGCTACGATAAGACGAATTTTGGCAAATCACATGGCCTTTAAAAAACAGAGGGCGGGTGGGCGGGCCTGGTATTTGCTAAAATAAGACTAAATTTGGCAAATAACATATTCTCTAAGAAAATAGAGGACGGGTGGGCGGGGCTATTATTCGCTGTGAACCAAGGGGGCGGAGCTTAACTGCACAATACTTATTTCTTTACAAAAAATTAAAAACATGTTTTGGGTATCGTGTTATTCAAAGAATACTATGTATATTAAGAAAAAAATTGAGCCAAAGATTAATCCCCACCCATATTTGCCCTGATCCGAATAGTAATGAAGTTTTCATTCGTTGGCATACGTTACCATTTTAAACGTGTTTTAAGTTTCTAAGAATAAAAAAATCATCACAATTGAGATAGGGTGGGTGGGTGGGGATTATATTTTCTCTTTTTTTTCTTAATATACATAGTTTTCTGTGAACAACACGATACTCAAAAACATGTTTTTAATTTCTTGTAAGGAAATCAGTATTTTGCTGTTAAGCTCCGCCTCCTTGGTTCACGGCAAATAAAAAAAATCATCACAATTGAGATAGGGCGGATGGGCGGGGTTACATTTTGCCTTGTTGTTTTAATATGTGTAGACTTCTTTTCATAACATAAAACTTAAAACATCAGAACAGAAAATCAGGAAAATCAGAAAATCCAAAAAATTCGAAAGTTCCAGAAAATCCAAAAATTCCAGAAAATCCACAAAATCTCGAAAATCAAGAAAATCAAGAAAATCCAAAAGATTCCAAAAATCCCGAAAATATAGAAAATCCAGAAAGTGTAGAAGTCCAGAAAGTCGAGAAAGTCTAAAGAATAAAAAACCAAAAAATTCAAAAAATCCAGAATATCCAAAAAGTCAAGAAAATCCAGAAAATCGAGAATGTCCAAAAAGTAAAAAAAAATCCAGAAAATCTAGACATTCCAGAAGTCCAGAAAGTCCAGAAAATTCAAATGTCCCGAAAGTCCAGACAGTTCAAAAAATCCGAAAAATCCAGAAAATCGAGAATGTCCAAAAATCAAAAAAACCCAAAAAATCTAGAAAATCTAGAAATTCCGGAAGTCCAGAAAGTCCAGAAAATTCAGATGACCAGAAAGTCCAGACAGTAAAAAAATCCGGAAAATCCAGAAAGTCAAGAAAGTCCAAAAAATAAAAAGTCCAGAAAAACGAGAAAGTTCAAAAAATCCAAAAAACAAAAAAATCCAGAAAATCCAGATATTCCAGAAACTTCAGAAAGTCCAGAAAATCAGGAGAATCCGGAAAATTAAAAAAATTCGAAAGTTCCAGAAAATACAAATATTCCAAAAAATCCAGAAAATCTATAAAGTTTAGAAAATCAGGAAAATCCAGAAAATCCGGTAAATCCAATAAATCCATAAAATCCTGAAAATGTACAAAATCCAGAAAGTCCAAAAGTCTAGAAATTCAGAAAGTCCAAAAAATACGGAAAATCCAGAAAATCGAAAAATTAAAAAAAACAAAAAATTCGAGAAACTCCAGAATATCAAAAAAGTCCAAAAAATCCAGAAAATCAAAAAAGTTCAAAAAATCCAGAAGTCTTGAAAGTCTAGAAAATCCGGAAAATCTGGGAAATCCAAAAAGTCTAAAAAATGCAAAAAACAAAAAAGTCCAGAAAATACAGAAAATCAGGAAAATTCAGAAAATTCGGAAAATCAAAAAATTCCAGAAAATCCAGACAATCTAGAAAGTCCAGAAAATCAGGAAAGTCCAAAAAATCCAGGAGATTCAAAAAATTCCAGAAATCCAGAAAATATAGAAAATCCAGAAATCCAGAATGTCGAGAAAGTCCAAGAAATAAAAAAAAACAAAAAATTCAGAAAATTCAGGATATTCAAAAAGTCTGAGAAATCCAGAAAATCGAGAAAGTCCAAAAAATCCAAGAAAACCCAGAGAAATTTAGAAAATCTAGAATATCCAGAAATTCCAGAAGTCCAGAAAGTCCAGAAAATCCATCAAATCCAGAAAGACGAGAAAGTCCAAAAATAAAAAAAAACTTTAAATTCAGAAAATCCAGAATATCCAAAAGGTCCAGAAAATCTAGAAAATCGAAAAAGTCCAAATAGTAAAAAACCCAACAAACTACAGAAAATCCAAAAAATTAAAAAAAAATCAAAATCCAGAAAATCCAAAAAATCCAAGAAATTCAGAAAATCGCGAAAGTGAATGAAAAATTGAAAAATTATATAATCGGAAAATCGGAAAATTGAAGCAGCGAAAAAGTGCGAATCGAAAATTGAAGAAACAAAAAATTGAAAAATCGAAAAACCGTAAAATCGGAAAATTGTAAGTTCGAAGAACTGCAAACCGAACACTTGGAAATACAAAAAATACAAATTTAAAAATCGAAAACGAATAACAGGAGAAAGGAAAAATTGAAAAACGGAAAACTAATGAGTCGAAAAACCAAAAAATCGAAGAACTGACGAAAAGAAAAATGGAAAGGTCAAAAAATTGTTCAATATCTTGTAAAGAAATCAGTATTACATAAAACTTAAAACATCAGAACAGAAAATCAGAAAATTCAGAAAATCCAAAAAATTCGAAAGTTCCAAAGTTCCAGAAAATCCAATAATTCCAGAAAATCCAGAAAATCTGGAAAGTCTAGAAAATCAGGAAAATCCAGAAAATCTGGAAAGTCTAGAAAATCAGGAAAATCTAGAAAATCCAAAAGATTCCAAAAATCCAGAAAATATAGAAACTCCAGGAAGTCCAGAAAGTCCCAGAAAATCAGGAAATCCAGAAAGCTTAGAAGGTCCAAAAAGTCCGGAAAATCCAGAATGTCGAGAAAGTCCAAAATGTAAAAAAAACAAAAAGTTCGGAAAATCCAGAATATCCAGAAAGTCTAGGAAATCAAGAAAATCGAGAAAATCCAAAACTCCAAAGAAATCCAGAAATCCAGAATATCCAGACATTCCAGAAGTCCAGAAAGTCCTGAAAATTCAGAAAGACGAGAAAGCCCAAAAATAAAAAAAAAACAAAAAATTCAGAAAATCCAGAATATCCAAAAGGTCCACAAAATCTAGAAAGACCAAACAAAAAACCCAACAAACTACAGAATACAGAAAATCCAAAAAATTAAAAAAAAATCAAAATACAGAAAATTAAAAAAATCAAAGAAATTCAGAAAATCGCGAAAGTGAATGAAAAATTGAACAATATATAATCGGAAAATTGAAGCAGCGAAAAAGTGCGAATCGAGAATTGAAGAAACGAAAAATCGAAAAACCGTAAAATCGGAAAATTGTCAGTTCGAAAAACTGCAAATCGAACACTTGATAATACAAAAAATACAAATTTAAAAATCGAAAACGAATAACAGAAGAAAGGGAAAATTGAAAAACGGAAAACTAATAAGTCGAAAAACCAAAAAATCGAAGAACTGACGGAAAGAAAAATGGAAAGGTCAAAAAATTGAAAAAATGAAAAATTATGCAAGCGAAAACTAAAAGAATTGAGGAAATGAAAAATTGGAAAATTAAAAATTAAAAATTGAGAAACTGAAGAATTGGAAAATTGAGGAAATTTATAAACTCAATTTTTCGATTTTTCAATTAATCCATGTTTTGATTTTCCCATTTCTTGACTTTCGAGGGTTTCGATATTCCTGTTCTTCAATTTTTTAATTTTTTGATTTTTCAGGTTTTTGATTTTTTATTTTTTAATTTTTTTAAGGTTTCAATTTGTCGACTTCACTTTTTGGATATTTCAGTTTTCGGATTTTTCAGGTTTTCCATTTTTCAGTTTTTCGATAATTTCAGTTTTGGGATTTTTCAATCTTTCGATTCTTCGACTTTTCGATTTTTGACCCGTGGATTTTTCGATGTGTCGATTTTTTTACTTTTTCGATTTTTAAATTTTAGATTTTTTAATATTTTAAATTTTAGATTTTTCGATTTCTCGATTTTTCATTTCAGGTCTTCGATATTTCAATTTTTCAAGTTTTCGAATTTTCCAAATGTTTCGATTTCTTAATCTTTTGAATTTTCGATTTTTTAATTTTTCAAATTTGACTTTTATAAACTCTCAATTTTTCGATTTTTCAATTAATTGATGTTTTTTTTTTCCATTTCTTGACCTTCGAGTGTTTCGATTTTCCTGTTCTTCAATTCTTTAATTTTTTCATTTTTCAGGTTTTTGATTTTTCAATTTTTCGATTTTCCAAGATTTCTATTTTTCGACTTCACTTTTTTGATTTTTCGATTTTTCAGTTTTTAGATATTTCAGTTTTAGGATTTTTCAATATTTCAATTCTTCGGCTTTTCTATTTTTGACTTCTGGATTTTTCGATGTGTCTACCTTTTTACTTTTTCGATTTTTCAATTTTTGGATTTTTAAATTTTAGATTTTTCAATCTTTTGATATTTTGATTTTTCAATATTTCTTAATCTTTCGATTTTTCGACTTCCTGGTTTTAGCTGTTTTGTTTTTCAATTTTTCAATTTGTTAATTTTTCATTCCCGATTTATCGAGATTTGATCGTTCAGGTTTTCGATTTATAAGTTTTTCAATTTTTTATTTTGGCTTATTTCGGTTTCTCATTTTTTCCAGTTTTTTGATTTTTCCGCTTTTCCAATTTTTCAACTTTTAACTTTTTGTCTGTCAATCTCACAATTTTTCAATTTTTCGAATTTTTAAGTTTTTTGATTTCTCGATTTATCGATTTATCGAGATTTATAAATTGTTCGATTTTTAACTTTTCAATGTTTCGGTTTTACGATTTTTTAAAGTTTCGATTTTTCGATTATTACATTTCTCGATTTTTCAAATTTTCTATTATTTTTGTTTTTCTTTTTTTTTTTCTCATTGTTAATATCATACAGTGTATCGAAAACAACCACAAAAACTATCACTAAAAACATTCAAAAATTCATACAAAATAGAACACAGTGTTTCCAAAACATTTTCCCGAAAAAAATCCATTGGGTTAACTCGATTTCAACAATATGTATTCTTAGTTTAAGACGTTTTGCTAGTATAAAACACAAATAAAGAATTAATTCCTAGTTAAACAAAATATGTAAAATCATCTGAATATGTACCAAAAATATTCACTTAGTCGTTATAAAAACCGACCAAACAACTATTTCCCGCAGAAATTACAGTCCAAACCAACCAAATCGCTTCTGAACGCTTAGAGTCGACATTGGCTTGAGCGCGCTCTGGTATGTAGAACAAACAAGTTCTCAGGCGACGAGTCGCAGTGAAACAAGTTTTTTTTTATTGACATCGACCATTTAAATTTGGCGCTGGCCTTTGGCGGTTGAGGACTCCAATGTCAATAAGGGTATGCCGTGATTATCAAACTGAACAGGAACACGTTGATGTTGCCAACATAATTTTTGAAATTAGTACATTAATGTTTACGAATATCAAATAGTTTTCAAAAACCATTACTGTGCTTTCACAAGTGCAGAGATTACTTGTGGACTTCCTTCTGTTGAATAGAACCTGACTTATCTGATCTGACCTGTCCTGAGCTTCATACTGTCAAATAGAACATTTTTATCATTTGTGTAGCGAATCACATAACGTATAATTACTAAGAACTTTGTTCCAGAGCCCATGACTTATCGCTAGCCCAGCCCACATACACGCACATGGCACTGTCCGAACTGTACAAAAAGAAAATTCTCAAATATGTTGTGTCTCAAAACTGTGATGGGCTCCATCTTCGCTCCGGTTTACCACGAACAGCTTTATCGGAACTCCACGGTAACATGTACGTAGAAGTATGTAAAAACTGTAAGCCTCACAAAGAATACTGGCGGTTGTTCGACGTAACCGAAAACACCGCCCGGTATTCCCACAAAACATCACGAAAGTGTTACATCTGTAACGACCCCTTAGTCGACACCATAGTCCATTTCGGGGAACGCGGGAGCCTCCAGTGGCCCCTGAACTGGTCCGGCGCTTGCAAAAACGCCGAAACAGCCACAACCATAATCTGCCTCGGGTCCAGCTTGAAAGTCCTGAAAAAGTACCCGTGGTTGTGGCGAATGGACAAACCCGCAAAGAAAAGGCCGAATTTGTACATAGTCAATTTACAGTGGACGCCCAAGGACGACGTCGCCAACGTCAAAATCCACGGTAAGTGCGACCAAGTCATGGAGGCCGTCATGAACCTGCTCGACATCCCCGTGCCCCCTTACGACAAGCTGAAAGACCCCATTTTCGCCCACGGGACCCTGCTGTGCGAGGCTGAGCTGCACACCACGACCCAGCCCTGGCTCAAGGTCGACGATGAGATTAAAAAAGAATTTACAGTACAAAGTGATTTTAAAGACTGTCAGTCCAATCGTGATAATGATCTCAGTTCGAGTAATTCGATAAAATCAGAGTTCTGTGATAGTAGTAGTAGCAATAAATCGTCACCAAGTCATTCTGAAACTGCGCCAACCAGTCTTCCGGCGAAAGAACCCGCCAGCTACCCGTTCTCGATAGACGAAATCCTGAACGACCGTGTTCGTGATAATTCGATCGTACAACACACGCCAACTAGTAAGTTCGTCGTGACTTCGAGCTACTCGCTTCTAAATTACGATAGTCTGAGCACTAATCTCATGCAGTGTCAGATCTTGGGGTCCTACTCAGATTTCATTTATTATCCGTACCAGACGAGTTTTTTGTACTCGGGCTTGCACAGTATTATCAATCCTGCCCCCGATTTTGCCATTTCTGAAGACAAAGCCGAAAAGACAAGTCCGAAACTCGAGCCGTCGTGCGACTTTTGTGATAAATATTATAATTCCGTTTCGTGCTTGTTTTATCCTAAGGTTGAATCAGTATTTATTAATCCGCGGTATAGGTTTAGCAAAATGGAACAGAAAGAGAAGGCCAATCTTTGCGTGTGTTGTGACTACACAACGGACGAAGACGACGTCGAACCGAACGACGGAAAAGAGCAAGGCAGCGAAAAGGAACTAAAAATTAAAATTCAAGCGGGATGGTTCGGAAAAGGCTGCCGAAAAAGCCGAAGATGGAAAAGAAAATAATTTATTTCAATTTGTCAGTATTAATGTGTTTTTGTATTTTTTTACTTATTTATTTATTTGTGTGTTTATTTGTAAAATGTGCGCGAAATAAATCACTCCAACTTTATCAATTACTCCTATATTTACAAACTACTAGAAATGTTGCGACTTATTTTTGGAACGGGTAATAGTCCAAGCCCGTGTTGTAATTATACCTAGGTTTGTCTGACTTTCGCGCTTCCTCTATAAGCTTTTGGACACTCTTTCGGTATGGTGGGGGAAGCATATCTTCATGTAACGTGCATTCAAACGCCTCCGCCTCCTTTTTCTTATAAATACGACGTCTTACAATATCCACGTCTCGACTATACTCATCCAATAACTGATCAATGTACACAGGAGGTGCATTAAATTCCATCAAAAAGTAACTAAAATACAACATAAAAATCCACACATTCACGTTTTACACACGTACCTAGCTTTACGATGGACCATTCCGTGTGCACTAGTTTTATAAGGCATGTCTCTAGTCCCCAAGTTTTCCAGTTTTCGCAGAAAGCCCCCTTTGTCGAAAATTGCATTTGCAGATCTTTTGACCACCGAAGCCAGTTCATTCTACAAGAAATACTCACTAAAAACAACAACAAAATATTCGCAAACCTTTGGCATAATTCGCAACAGCAGCAACAATTCGTATGTAATCATTTTTCTATTAATTTTGCTTGTATTTAAAAAAGTGAGGTTATGCGGTTAGTGCATTTGGTGAAATTACATCACTGGCTGTCACTCGTGTCAGCATAGATTAATGTAGATGCGACATACAGACTGATTTTGCAAAACCACCCTTATTGAAATTGGAGTCCTCCACCGCCAAGGGCCAGTGCAAATAGTTTTACAATTTTGCAATTTTTGCACTTTTTTATTCAAAAAATTGAAAAATCGGAAAATTGAGGCATCTCGAAACTGAAACATCGGTAACAATTGAAAAATCGAGTAATCGAAAAGTTTTGATTTTTTAACTTCGAAAAATTAAAAAATCAAAAACATATAAAATTTAAAAATGCGAAAAATGAAAAATCGAAAAAGTAAATTGATTTTGCAGGTTTTAATTTTTCAATTTTTTGATGTTTTAGATTATCGATATTTCAATATTGGGACTTTTCACTATTTCAATTTTTCAATTTTTTTTATTCGAAAAATTGGAAAATGGAAATATTGAAAAATCCCAAAGCAAAAGTCGAAAAATCCAAAAATCGAAGTCAAAAAATGGAAAAACTTAAAAATCTATAATTTTTCAATTTTGGTTTTAGATTTTTTAATTTTTCGAAGTCGAAAATCGAAAAGCTAAAAAATGTAAAAATTGAAAATCGAAAAAGTAAATCGATTTTTCATTTTTTGAGTTTTGGATTTTTCAATTTTTTAAGTTTTCGATTTTTTGATGTTTTGATTTCGATATTTCAATTTTGGGACTTTTCACTATTTGGCTTCAATTTTTCCATTTTTTTTTTATTCAAAAAACTGAATAATCAAAAAGTTGAAAAATTGAAATATAGAAAAATCAAAAAGGTAAAAAATTGAGAAATCGAAAAACCGAATCGAAATATAGAACAATCAGAAAGTCAAAGGCCCAAAAATTGAAAAATTAAAAAATCCAGAAAGTAAATCTGTTTTTCAATTTTTCAGTTTTAGATTTTTAATTTTTCAATTTTTCGATTTTTTGATGCTTCTGAATTTCGATATTTCAGTTTTGGAGTTTTTCACTATTTGGCTTGAATTTTTCAGTTTTTTAATCGAAAAATTGAAAATTCGAAATATTTAAAAATCAAAAAGGTAAAAAATTGAAAAATCGAAAAATCGTAAATTTAAATCGTTTTTCAATTTTCGAAGTTTCAGATTTTTTAATTTTTCAATTTTTCGATATTTCAGTTTTGGGATTTTTCACAATTTGGCTTCAATTTTTCCCGTTTTTTATTCGCATAATTGAAAAATAGAACAGTTGAAAAATCGAAATAATGAAAAATCAAAGAGGTAAAAAATTGAAAAATCCAATGGAAATGTTGAAAAACCCCGAAGCTCAAGACACGAAAATTGAAAAATAGAAGAAAATTGAAAACTCGAAAAATCAAAAAGTCGAAGTCGAAAATCGAAAAGCTAAAAAATGTAAAAAATGAAAAAGTAAATCGATTTTTCATTTTTTGAGTTTTGGATTTTTTAATTTTTCAATTTTTTTATTTTTTGATGTTTTAGATTTCGCTGTTTCAATTTTGGGACTTTTCACTATTTGACTTCAATTTTTCCATTTTTTCTTTATTCAAAAAATTGAATAATCGAAAAATTGAAAAATTGATATATTGGAAAATCGAAATGGTAAAAAACTGAGAAATCGAAAAACCGAATCGAAATATAGAACAATCAGAAAGTCAAAGACCCAAAAATTGAAAAATTACAAAATCCAAAAAATGAAAAATCGAAAAAGTAAATCTGTTTTTCAATTTTTGAGTTTTAGATTTTTAATTTTTCAATTTTTCGATTTTTTGATGCTCTGATTTTCGATATTTCAGTTTTGGAGTTTTTCACTATTTGGCTTCAATTTTTCAATTTTTTTAATCGAAAAATTGAAAAATCGAAAAATTGAAAAATGAAAAAGGTAAAAAATTGAAAAATCGAAAAATCGTAAATTTAAATCGTTTCAGATTTTTTAATTTTTCAATTTTTCGATATTTCAGTTTTGGGTTTTTTCACAATTTGACTTCAATTTTTCCCGTTTTTTATTCGAAAAATTGAAAAATAGAAAAGTTGAAAAATCGAAATAATCAAAAATCAAAGAGGTAAAAAATTGAAAAATCCAATGGAAATGTTGAAAAATCCCGAATTTCTAGTCTCGAAAAATTGAAAAATGTAAGAAAATTGAAAACTCGAAAAATCAAAAAGTCGAAGTCGAAAATCGAAAAGCTAAAAAATGTAAAAATTAAAAATCGAAAAAGTAAATCGATTTTTCATTTTTTGAGTTTTGGATTTTTCAATTTTTCAATTTTTCGATGTTTTGATTTAGATTTCGATATTTCAATTTTGGGACTTTTCACCATTTGGCTTCAAATTTTTCCATTTTTTTTGTATTCAAAAAATTGAATAACCGAAAAGTTGAAAAATTGAAATATTGAAAAATCAAAAAGGTAAAAAATTGAGAAATCGAAAAACCGGATCGAAATATAGAATAATCAGAAAGTCAAAGGCCCAAAAATTGAAAAATTAGAAAATCTAAAATTAAAAAATCCAAAAAATGAAAAACCGAAAAAGTAAATCGAAATCGAAAAATCGAAAAATTAAAAAATATAAAATTTAAAAATCGAAAAATTGAAAAACTGAAAAAGTAAATAGATTTTTCAATTTTTAAGTTTTAGATTTTTTAATTTTTCAATTTTTCGATTTTTTAATGTTTTAGATTTTCGATGTTTGGTCGGCTTTTAAAACGGCTAAGTGAATACTTTTGGTACATATTTAGATGATTTTACATATTTTGTTTAACTAAGAATTAATTCTTTATTTGTGTTTTATACTAGTAAAATGTCTTAAACTAAGAATATTGTTGAAATCGTATTAACCCAGTGGATTTTTTTCGGGAAAATATTTTAGAATCACTGTTCTATGTTGTATGAATTTTTAAATATTTTTAGTGATAATTTTTGTGGTTGCTTTCGATACACTGTATGATAGTAACAGTGAGAAAAAAATGAAAAATTAAAATAATAGAAAATTCGAAAAATCGAGAAATCTAATAATCGAAAAATTGAAACCTTAAAAAATCGTAAAACCGAAACATTGAAAAATCGAAATATCGAAGAACTGAAAATCGAAAAATGAAACATCAGAAAATCGAAAAAATGTAAAATTTAAAAACCGAAGAACGAAAAATCGAGAAATCGAAAAACCGAAAAGTTAAAAATTGAACAATTTATAAATCGAGAAATTGACAATCAAAATATCGAAAAATCCAAATCACGATAAATCGAGAAATCAAAAAACTTAAAAATTCGAAAAATTGGAAAATTGAGAGATTGAAAGATCACAAGAACGAGAAATCGAAACGTGGTGAAGTTGAAAAATCAAAAAATAGAGACATCGATAAACAGAAAGTTAAAAGTTGAAAAATTGGAAAAGCGGAAAAATCAAAAAACGAAAAAATTGAAAAAAGGAAAAACTGAGAAACCGAAATAGGCCAAAATAAAAAATTGAAAAACTGATAAATCGAAAACCTGAACAATCAAATCTCGATAAATCAGGAATGAAAAATTAACAAATCGAAAAATTGAAAAACAGAACATCTAAAACCAGGAAGTCGAAAAATCGAAAGATTAAGAAATATTGAAAAATTAAAATATCAAAAGATTGAAAAATCTAAAATTTAATTTAGGAGTCCTCAACCACAACCTCAGCCCATGGTAGAAGGAGACATGGTATAGGCATCCGATGTACCAATTTAAAAATGGTCTGCGCATCCATTTGTGACGTTAGGTGGCATCAACGACCTTGTGACTCTTGTGAGCAGCTTCGCTAGGGAAGTCTAGGGAATTTCAGCTTGAGTTGTCATTGCTCTGTCCAGAGACTTTAAATATGTATAGACCGGCTATGTGGCCTAAAACTTGAAGCCGGCAGTCGCCATATTGCTTAGTCCCAAAATCGCGCCGAATTTAAAATGTCAACAATTTCAAAGTTATTAAAACACGATCTTAACAAGTTTATTTGGAATAGTAAGGTGTTGCCGATGAAATAAAATACCTTTTTGACCACTACTTTTTTGTTTCGAATTACGATACCACCGTACACCGCAGCTTACTGGCATTTTCGTTCAAAGTTCACTTAATTTATTAAATACTGTCGTAACAAACGCGACACCATTGACCAGAAGCTAGGTCCAATAAACAAAAAAAAAACAACAAATAACAGCCACACTCAGCACCCAACAAACAGACTTTCCTACTTCTATTAACGAAAACTCGAAAACTGAGAACGATAGTTCCGTTTAAAGGTTAAGTTGGGTCAGGATTGACAGAAAGGGACCAGCAATGGCGGCGATTTCTGTTGACAGAACTGCTTCACGAAATACAATAGAATCTAGGGTGACAGCCAGTCTATATATATTTGAAGTCTTTGGCTCTGTCCAATACGTCAATTAGTTGTCGGATAACGAATTGTATTTTAAATTTCGCGCTAATTTCACCCCACTTGACGTCACACCCGATGCGTATGCCTATACCATGTCTCCTTCTACCATGCCTCAGCCGTCATTTAATTTAAACTATGACGCTTCTCTATGTTCTCTGATTTGGTGAAATTACATCACTGTCTGTCATTAGTGTCAATCCACCAAAAAACCCCAGATCGCAGCGTGTGAGGTAAGAGGTTAAACCCGCAAAACCGCTTTTATTCAGTTAAACCCAGCTTGTGTGTGTCCAAATAATGCATAAGTCGCTTCACCCAAATGTCTGATGGCCCCCAGGAACAGTTAAAACGATTCGTGTTTTCGTCGAAATATAACCTGAGAGGAGAACCTCAGGAAGAAAAACTAGAAGTGATTATTCCTGAGGTACATCGCCCCCTTGCTAAGTCCAGTTCTAGATTGTGTATTTTTGCAGCTACTTCTACCCAGTTACTCGTTCTACACGTGGCCCTCCGCCCCCGTGCTTGCGTGGTTTTTATGGGAGCACCGGCACGAGTTGGTCGGTAAACGGATTCTGGAAATCGGCTCGGGGACCGCGCTTCCTGGAATAGTGGCAGCCAAGTGCGGCGCGAAGGTAATTTTGAGCGACTCCGCCACTCTCCCGAAGTCTCTAGCGCACACTCGGCGCAGCTGCCAATTAAACAATTTGGTGGTGAACGAGCACATCCACATAATTGGATTGACGTGGGGGTTGTTTTTGAACAGTCACGATTTTGCGGGTCAGTTGGACTTGATTCTAGGTTCCGACTGTTTTTATGAGCCTGCGGTCTTCGAGGATATAATTGTGTCGGTTTCGTATTTGCTAGAGGGTAATCAGAACGCTAAGTTCCTGTGTACGTATCAGGAGCGCAGCTCTGATTGGTCAATCGAGCATTTATTAGCCAAGTGGAACTTGCGCTGTCAGGTACACAATATTAGTAATCTAGGGGCGACAGCGGGTTTAGACATCCACGAACTGGTTGGGGATCACAGTATACACTTGTTGGAAATTTCGCGTCAGGTTTGAGTATGGCTGGTAATGTCGCTAGAAACTTGTACAAATTGTATGTGAGAAACATTCCGTGGACCGTCGGCCACCAAGAACTCAAAACCTACTTCAACAAGTTTGGCAACGTCGCCGTCGCTACCGTGGTTTTCGACAAAGACACCGGATTGTCCCGAAATTACGGTTTCGTGTTTTATCGCAACAAAGACGAGTTTGACAAAGCTATTCAAACTGACTCACACAAATTAGAAGGAAACGTCTTAAAAGTTTTCCCGTCTACTAACGCCAACTAAATCATGGCAACGTCTATAGATAGTTTTAATGATCTTAAAGAGCTCGGGATCGACTGCGAAGACGATTCTTTAACAGAAACATTCAACCAAGCCGCCAATCACTTACAAAATTTGCTACCAAATCTAGACAATCAAACTCTGTTGACTCTGTACGGCTACTACAAGCAGGGCTCGCACGGCCCCTGCACCACCCCGAAACCCAGCTGGTACGACATGAAGGCCAAATCCAAATGGGAAGCCTGGAGCAAACTGGGAGACATGCCGCAAAACGAAGCGAAAACCATCTATATTGAAACCATCAAAAAACTGGACCCGAATTTCGCCACCGCTTCACCCACGAAGGAGAGCTGGGTGTCCGTGTCTACGTTGCAGGATGACCCAAGCACGCGTCACACTGGGGAAAAAACCCTGGTCGATTACGTGAAAGAGGAAGACCGCGAGCAAGTCACGAATATTTTGGGGTCTCCAGACGGAAAAAAAATTATTAATGAAGTCGATGAAGACGGGTTGGGTTTGATTCACTGGGCTGCGGATCGAGGGTCCGTTGATATTCTGAAGGTTTTGATTGAGGGTGGAGCTGATGTGGATCTTCAGGATTGTGATGGACAAACTGCCTTACATTATGCTTCGAGTTGTGGCCATTTGGATTCCGTTAGGGTGCTTCTGGAGAGCGGGGCAAGGCGGGATGTTTTGGATAATGACGGGTCGAGTCCGGAAGCCGTGGCTTGCGATGGCGCTGTTAAGGAATTGTTGGCAAATTTTACGTAGTTAGGATGTAGTGGTTGTTATTAGTTAATTAAATATATCACAAAGAATTTTGGTCTTTTATTGCTTATGGTTCGTTTATTTTCACCACTGACGTTTCACGCGAAGAGTACACATTTTTTAATTTTAAACGCGTCAAAATAAAGTAGGTGGCTAGTTATTATAATAATAATTAAAATAATAGTAGCCATCTGTGAATCAAAATTTTCTCCATTCCAAGAATCATGAAGTAAGGGAGAAGTAAATTTTTTTATTGGCAACTCTCACCATTTTTTCAGAGTCTGCCTTTATTTTTCCCCTAGGGCGACAAATGAGAAATTAATTTTTATACTGGCGCTTCATTTTTTTTTTTTAATTTTAAACCTCAGTTCTGTACGAAAAGGCATCTGAATGAACCGAAATATTGTCAATCTGTTTTTATTTTTCTTATATCTCGTCAAATAAGGAAGAAATGAATTTTTATTCTGGCGCCTGAGAACTTGTTTGACCCACAGACCGGAGCGCGCTCAAGCCAATGTCGACTCTAAGCGTTTAGAAATTCTGAGGGAAATAGTTATTATTTAGATGCTTTTGTTTGCAAACACAATATCACATCACATGTTTCACTCGATTTTGACGTACAACAATTTTTTTGTTTAACTAAGAATTCATTCTTTAGTTGTAAATTGAACAATCAGATAAGTGAAAAATCGAAAAATTGGAAAATCGAAAATTTAAAAATTCCGAAAATTGTATAAAACAATCGAAAAATTGAAAAACCGAAAGTTTAAAAATCCAAACAGTAAAAAGTCCAGAAATCGAAAAATCCAGAATTCGAAAAATTGTAAAGTCGAAATATTAAAAAATCCAAAACTGAAAAATCACAAAATTGGACGAAATATCCAAAAATTGAAAAATTGAGAAATCAAAAAGTCAAGAGAGCAAAGTCGAAAAATCAGAAAATAGATTAATTGAGAAATCAGAAAACTGAAAATTCAGGAACGTCAAAATTTGAAAAATTAAAAAATATTGAACTGAAAAACCGAAAAATCTAAAATTTAAAACATTGAAAAATTAAAATATCGTAAAACTGAAAAATGGGGAAATCCGGAGATCAAAAAATCAAAAAAATAAAAACTGGAAAATCTAAAATTTAAAAATCGAAAATTAAAAAAAATGAGAAATTGAAAAAAATCGGATAATTAATTTAAAAATCGAAAATTCCAAAAGTAAATAATCGAAAAACTGACAAATTTAAACATCAAAAATTGGAAAATCGAAAATTTAAAAATTTCGAAAATTGAAAAATTGACAGAAGAACTGAAAATTCGAGAAATCGAAAAACCTAAAATTTTAAAAATTAAAAAATTAAAGAACGAAAAATTGAAAATCCAAACAGTAAAAAGTCGACAAATCGAAAAATCCAGAATTCGAAAAGTCGAAATATTAAAAAATCTAAGGAAAATTTGAAAAATAGAAGAAAAATTTAAGAATCGAAAAACTGAAAAATCACAAAATTGGACGAAATATCCAAAAATTGGAAAATTGAAAAACTGGGAAATCAAAAAGTCAAAAAAGCGCAGTTGAAAAATCGGAAACTTAAAAAATCGAAAAATTGAACAATCAAAAACCTGAATATTCGAAAAATTGAAGAATTGAAAACTGAAAATTCAGGAACGTCAAAATTTGAAAAATTAAAAAATATTGAAGAACTGAAAAACCGAAAAATCTAAAATTTAAAACATTGAAAAATTAAAATATCGTAAAACTGAAAAATGGAGAAATCCAGACATCAAAAAATCAAAAAAATAAAAACTGGAGAATCTAAAATTTAAAAATCGAAAATTAAAAAAATTGAGAAATTGAAAAAATCGGAGAATTAATATAAAAATCGAAAATTCCAAAAGTAAAAAATCGAAAAACTGACAAATTGAAATATCAAAAATTGGAAAATCGAACATTTAAAAATTTCGAAAATTGAAAAATTGACATAGTCCAGTCATTTTAGGATAAAAAAGGGATCAATCTCGGAATGAGAGATAATAAGCTGAATTTTTGTATATACCTTAATTTTGGCGTTTTAAAAGTTGAGTCGAAAGTCTCATAAAATCTCGTGTCTGCGTCGTAAGTTATTCAAGGTCAAAGATGAAGAAAAACAGTTTTTTGCGATTATCTCGGTTTCTATTGCTCCAGTGATGTTAACATTTATTATCATAATTGTAGAGCACAAAATTTGGGACAAATTTTATTTGAAACATTTTTTCATGCGCTCAATCGTTTTTGAGATAGAGGGCAGTGAGCGCGCAGCGCTCATCCATACGTACTGTAATGCAATCAACCGTGAATATCTATGAATACTACCTTGAATTTTGAAAAATTTGTATTATTTATCAATTAATACATTGTATTTAAACATTTTACATATTTTCAACATATTCATTGAATAATACTTACCTACTTTGTGTAATTAAAAACGCATTTAATGAAATATTTATTGTATATCTCAATTTATTTATATCTTTAAAATGTGTAAGGTTTTAAATACTTATTTTTCTATCATGATTATAACTGGAAGGTCTGGAAACAACGATTCAGGGCACCGAAGATGATGACGATGAAACAGAAATTCCCGAACGTCAAGAAGATGACGGTGAAGAAGAAGAAAATTAATACTTTTGTTCTTTAAATTATTAAAGGTTTCTAGATTTTCACTGCAATTCAATTTCAATCGTAAGAAATGTACAGGTACTGAACAAAGATAAAATTAAAATACATTAACTCGTTTTACTTCCTTAAATTTTTACTTTGAAAAAATTAATATAACTTTTAGATATATAATAATATAACAAGTATAATATATTATCTAATTTGTAAAAACTTACACATTTGAAAGATAAAGTACTTAGTTATTTTTCTACTTAAAATCTACTTTCAATAAATTAAGATATACATACAATAAGTATTTCATTTAAAGAGTTTTTAATTCCACAAAGTAGGTAAGTATCATTATCATTAAATTAATGTATTGAAAATATGTAAAATGTTATTAAATGCAATGTATTAACTGATAAATAATACAAATTATTCAAAATTAAAGGTAGTATTCACAGATATTCACGGTTGATTGCATTACAGTACGTATGGATGAGCGCTGCGCGCTCACTGCCCTCTATCTCAAAAACGATTAAGCGCATGAAAAAATGTTTCAAATAAAAATTATCGCGAATTTTGTGTTCTACAATTACGATAATAGATGTTAACATCATTGGAGCAATAGAAACCGAGATAATCGCAAAAAACTGTTTTTCTTCACCTTTGACCTTGAATAACTTATGACGCAGACACGAGATTTTATGAGACTTTTGAGACAACTTTTATAACGCTAAAATGAAGGTATATACGAAAATTCAGCTTATTATCTCTCATTCCGAGGTTGATCGCTAATTTGACTGGACTAACAGAAGAACTGAAAATTCGAGAAATCGAAAAACCTAAAATTTTAAAAATTAAAAAGTTAAAGAACGAAAAATTGAAAACCAAACAGTAAAAAGTCGAGAAATCGAAAAATCCAGAATTCGGAAAGTCGAAATATTAAAAAATCCCAAGGAAAAATTGAAAAATAGAAGAAAAATTTAAGAATCGAAAAACTGAAAAATCACAAAATTGGACGAAATAGCCAAAAATTGTAAAATTGAAAAATTGGGAAATCAAAAAGTCAAAAAAGCGCAGTTGAAAAACCGCAAACTTAAAAAATCGAAAAATTGAACAATCAAAAACCTGAATAATCGAAAAATTGAAGAATTGAAAACTCGAAATTTTGGGAAGTCGAGAAATGGGAAAATTACAAAATAGATTAATTGAGAAATCGGAAAACTGAAAATTCAGAAACGTCAAAATTTTAAAAATTAAAAAGTTAAAAAACGAAAAATTGAAAATCCAAACAGTAAAAAGTAGAGAAATCGAAAGATCCAGAATTCGGAAAATCGAAAGTCGCAATATTAAAAAATCTCAAAAATGAAATATGGAAGAAAAATTAAAGAATCGAAAAACTGAAAAATCACAAAATTGGACGAAATACCAAAA